GCCTCCTGGATTCATGTGATTCTCCCACTTCAGCCTCCCAAGTAGAGTAGCTGGGACCACAGGCACACACTGCCACATCCGGCTAATTTTTGTATTTTAGTAGAGACAGGGTTTTACCATGTTGCCCAGGCTGTTCTCGAACTCCTGATCTCAGGCGATCTGCCCACCTCAGCCTCCCAAAGTGGTGGGATTACAGGAGTAAGCCACTGTGCCCAGATTCCAATGTGTTTTTAATGCTCTCAGCCATTTGTGTGCTTTATAACATTCCTTGAGACTAGCCTGGGCAACATTATAAAACTGTGTCTCTACAAAAAGAATTAGCCGGGTGCATCTGCAGTCCCCACTACTCAGGAGGCTGAGGCTGCAGGGAGTTGTGATTGTACCACTGCACTCCAGTGGGTGACAGTGCCAGACCCTGTCTCAAAATGAAGAGAAGGAGACAGAGGGAGGAGGAGGAAGAAGACGAGGATGAGGAGAAGGAAAAGAGGAGAAAGAACAAAGAGGGAAGAAAGGAAGAAGAGAAAAGAAAGAAGGGAGGAGGGGAACGAGGAAGAGGAGAGAGGAGGAGGAGAGGGAGGAGGAGAGGGAGGAGGAGGAGGAAGAGGAAGAGGAGGAAGGGGAGGAAGAAGAGAAAGAAGAACAAGAAGAACGAAGACAACAAGATTCCTTAATTCAAATGCAATTAAGACATTGGATGCAGGCAGGCAGATTTAATATAGGAACCACCACAATGTAGTTGTTTCCTTGGCTCTAGAAAGGCTTCTTCCTAAACTGGAAGCATATCTGTACTTTTCTCAGCTGCCTACACAAAGTAAGATGCTGCAAATGTGTGTGTGAGGGTGTATATATATGGTATGAAGGGTTTTTGTGGGGCAAGGGTTTAGATTTACTAACAGAATTATCAAGTCCCAGCACTGTTAATAAAAATTGTTGGCTTAAAAATTTTACTTGGAAACCTTAGGTATACAGAGTTGTTGAGCTGAAATCCTAAGATATCATGTCATATTTACAAAATAATGTCAAGTGATAAAAGGAACAAAGAGCCCAGTGTGGTGGCTCACCCTGTAATCCCAGCACTTTGGAAGGCCAAGGCAGATGGATTGCTTAAGTCCGGGAGTTCAAGATCAGCCTGGGCAACATAGAGATACCCGGTTTCTACGCAAATACAAAAGTCAGCCAGACATGGCAGTGCATGTGTGCAGTCCCAGTTCTTCCAGAGGATGGAGTGGGAGGTTTGACTGAGCCCGGGAGGTCAAGGCTGCGGTGAGCTGTGATCATGCCACTGGACTCTATCCTGGATGACCAAGCAAGACTCAGTACTCCACCCAAAAAACAAACAACCACCACCCACAGAATTGCTCACACACTGAATGCTCACATATTAATAATTTTTAGCATTTTTCAGCAATAAAGTACCTTTAATTAAGATATCCACATTGTAACTTTTATATATACTAGGAAGCCAAAAATTTAGTGCAACTCGCTTTATTGCAGCGGTCTGAAACAGAACCTGCAGTATCTCCAAGGTATGCCTGTAATGCTATACATATTATTTTAGTTTCCTGGGAAGCAATGATGTTCAAGCATTACTAGTGTAAGCTAGTTTAAAGGGTGAACAAGAAACATGAAAACAGTAAGAATAGCTGATTTGGCCTAGCAGAAATGTGTGTACCTACTTGTTCTTTTTTAAGTTTCTAAGATTCTCAGGAGATATTGGTATATCTCAACTTAACAGAAAGCATACAACTGGCAATGACAATCAGATATGCAGCTAACAAGAATCTAGAAGGGCAAAACTTTAAAACTATCACAAATAGAACTGATTCCTTTGTCTGTAGTCCGGTATTATTAACAAAAATACCTAACAGTGATGAAGAAGCAAATACAGTCAAAGCAAATGGGGCAATGAGAGAGAAAGCAGCACATGAAATGTGCAGAGACATGGGCAGGGTCAGACAACATAGAAGTGCCAGTACTACAGCCAAAGTGCTGATACTACACAGATGCTTGGTTTTCTCCACAATACGAACCTGTGGATCTAGCCACATACCCAAGAGCATGGGTGCTACAGATGCACACTGTAAACAAACTCAATGAACTATAAGGATTCTACTCAAAAGGTTAGTCAATTTGTAAAATAAAATCATATCCAAGAAGCATAATTTAACCAAATATTAATTTCCAAATAAGACAGACATCCCATGAGACAAATCCTGAAATACCACTTACCATGATGGTTCCTGGAGCTGACTCTGATGGACTCACAGGGCTTTGGTATGGGATCCTGCCATGCACAGAACTCTGGTCATAGGAGGAAGACGTTGCTACTGGACTAGCAGAACTCAGCAATGAGCTGGTCAGACTGCAGGAGGTAATGACGGAAGTTGTATACGTGGAGTTCTGTACTGCACTGGTCATTGGTAAAGATGTATTCAAAGGCTCACTGAGAAGAGTTAAAGATATTAAACAAAATTTTATTACTTTAAATACCTTCATGAAAAAAAATAAACAGCTTCATTAGATGCAAGTACTTCATCAATCTATTGTCCCAAATGAGACCCACCTAATTTAATTGAGAGATAGGGGGACATCTTTAAGAATACTCAGTCCAGCCTGGGTGGCTCGCACCTCTAATCCCAGCACTTTGGGAGGCCGAGGTGGGTGGATCACAAGGTCAGGAGATCGAGACCATCCTGGCCAACATGGTGAAACCCCATCTCTACTAAAAATACAAAAATTACCCGGGCATGGTGGCAGGCGCCTATAATCCCAGCTACTTGGGAGGCTGGGGTAGGAGAATTGCTTGAATCCGGGAGGCGGAGGTTGCAGTGATCCAAGATCATGTCACTGTACTCCAGCCTGGCAACAGAGCGAGACTCTGTCTCAAAGAAAAAAAAAAAAAGAAAAAGAAAAAAAACAAGAATACTTATGAAGGTTCTTTAAGGAATCTAGGTGTTTGAGACCATCTTTAAGAAGGGAACTTAAGGCCAGGTGTTGTGGCCCACACCTGTAATCCCAGCACTGGGTGAGGCCGAGGCGGGTGGATCACCTGAGGTCGGGAGTTGGAGACCAGCCTGACCGACATGAAGAATTCCCGTTTCTCCTAAAAATACAAAATTAGCTGGGCGTGGTGGTGCATGCCTATAATCTCAGCTACTCAGGAGGCTGAGTCAGGAGAATCGCTTGAACCCAGAAGGCGGAGATTGCGGTGAACTGATAACATGCCATTGCACTCCGGCCTGGGAAACTTAAGAGCAAAACTCCATCTCAAAAAACAAAATACAAACAAATAAAAAGGGAACTTAATTACCAGGTTTTGACTCTAGAATGTGCAATGGCTAACTAAAAAACCAAACAAAACAAAAAACAGCCAGACATGGTGGCTCATGCCTGTAATCCCAGCACTTTGGGAGTCTGAGACAGGCAGATTCCTTGAGCTCCAGAGTTTGAGACCAGCCTGGGCAACATGACAAAGCCCGTCTCTACAAAACATACAAAAAATTTAGCTGGGAATGGTGGTGCATGCCTGTAATCCCAGATCTTTAAGTGGCTGATGCAGGAGGATCACTTAAGCCTGGGAGGCAGAGGTTGCAGCGAGCCAAGATTGTGCTGCTGTACTCCAGCCTATGTGACAGAGCAAGATCCTATTTCAAAAAAAAAAAACAGGCCGGGCGCAGTGGCTCATGCCTGTAATCCCAGCACTTTGGGAGGCTGAGGCGGGAAGATCACCAGGTCAGGAGTTCAAGACCATCCTGGCTAACACGGTGAAACCCTGTCTCTACTAAAAATACAAAAATTAGCTGGGCATGGTGACACACGCCTGTAGTCCCAGCTACTCAGGAGGCTGAGGCAGGAGAATCACTTGAACCTGGGAGGAGGAGGTTGCAGTAGGCCGAGATGGCGCCACTGTACTCCAGCCTGGGTGACAGAGCAAGACTCCCGCAGGAGGAAGGGGAGAAAAGAAAACTAAAATCTGAGATTTTGTATTTATAAAATATTCCACTCAAGGAAAATTACTGCTCCATAGATGTGGAGAAATTAGATCCCTCATAGATTACTGGTAGGAATGTAAAATGCCACAGCCACAGTGGAAACAGTATGGCAGTTTCCCAAATGGTTAAGAGTTACCATACGACTCACAATTCTACTCCTGGGATATACATCCCAAAGAACTGAAAGCATGCAAAACTTGAAACCAAACGTCCATAGGAGCATGATTCGCTACAGTCAGGAAGAGCAAACAACCTAAATGTCCACCAACTAATGAATGAACAAAACGTTTATTTTGTAATGAAATATTTGGCAATAAAAATGATACATTCAACATGGGTGTACCTGGATAACTTATACTAAGTGAAAGACCAGACATAAAAGGCCACACATTCCAAGATTGTAGTCATATGAAATGTCCAGGTAGGCAAATCCAGAGACAGATTATTGGTTGCTAAGGGGCAGGGGAATGAAGAAACTGAGACTATCAGCTACAGGTATGGGTTTCTCACGGAGATGATGGATAACACTGAGGATAGCTACACAATCCTATCACCACAGCATGTATTCTTTCCACCAGGTGATCTCTTAGGGTCTATTTTGCTTCATAACAAAGGACTAAATATCCATTACCTTAAAGACTTCGAATATAAGCTGATTGGAATCTGATTACTATTTTCAGTGCTTGGAGCTGATCCAAATTCAGAGAGAGAAGGTTCTGACCCAAATTCCAGAGCCCCAAACTGCACATTTAATCCTGTGACATCTGCTGAACCAGGCATTTCCACTGCAGAAGCTGGGATCTGAAAAAGCAAAGCTGTCATGTCAGGAACAGAGGCCACAGATTCCAGGTCACAAAGGCCAGAGTCAAACAAGCATTTAGGTTCCCAGGCAATACTGGCAGGAAGGAGGAGTGAGAAACAAACAGAAAATATGAACAAGACTTTTCTAAAAAGAGAAAGAAAATAAACGAGCAAAGAAAAATTAAAAGTTGGGCTGGGTGTGGTGGCTCAGCTCATGCCTGTAATCTCAGCACTTTGGGAGGCGAAGGCAGGAGGATCGCTTGAGCCCAGGAGTTCAACACCAGCCTGGACAACACAGTAAGACCCTGTCTAATAAAAAAAAAAAAAAAAAAAAAAGGAGAGAAATTAAAAGTTAAACAGGAATGGTTGGCATTAATATCAATATCTACATCTAAGAGTAATGAGAGGGGAGTGGTGACGGGTGGGGAGTGAACACTGAGCTGACTGCTGTTTCAGGGACTCACCAATGATGAAACCATCACCTGGTCAAGGAACCATGCATCCTCCAACTATGGTATACAGCAGAACACTCAAGAAGAACAGTTCTCTGAGCCAGATCTTCAAATCTGTACTTGAAATAAGGATCTGTGGCTCTCAGCACAAATCCATTCCCTCTAATACTAGAGTCCGATTGCTCAGAAATGGTAATATCCTCATAATGCAATCAATAAACTATATGCTTGAAAAACACTGCATCCCAGTTTCCAAATCTTAGTATCCCACTACTTGAGCTGAATGTAAAAATAACTCCACCTTTAGGACTGTGACTTCATGATGAAATGCCCACCTTAGAAGCTGGGGGTATCCGCCGCTTAGCAAGTTTGATGTGTTTGGGCTGTGGCTGGTGGGCAGACACAGAGATATTTTCGATGGTCATGCTGGGAAGCTGCAAAAGCTTGTTCACAGTGGAGGGACTGTCTCCAGGCGTTGATTCTCGACGTTTTGCCTGGGATGTAAAGGACTCCAAACCAGGAGGAGGAACAGTGACTGCCTGGCTCTGGTGCTGCTGTCGCTGGCTTAACTGGCTAAGAACTGGGGATGGCTCAGGTTGAGATTTGAAGTCTAAAAAAAAGTAAGCAGCAATTTATGAGGCACAATGGCTTCGGACTCCCTCTTCAATTGTTACTTATCGTGAAGCGTTCCATTACCACCAATTTCTCCAAATCATCTTCCAGATGAATTTCTTAGGTTTTACACATACTATGTGTAATACCTCATTTAAGATAAATGGGAAAAGGTTCCCAAATAGGTATGTGGCTTGTTTCCTATGCAGAGAGATGTGGTTTATGTTTAGCCTAGGGGGTGATGAGCTTGTGAGAACAATATTGAGGTGCTATACACACCTGAGTATTAGCTAACAGAGAGCCATACTTTAATTATTTTATATATTTTCTATATAACTTTTAAAAATTTGAGCAGGCACAGTTGCTCATGCCTATAATGCCAGCACTCTGGGAGGCTGAGGTGGGAGAACTGCTTCAGCCCAGGAGTACAGGGCTGCAGTGAGCTATGACTGCTCCACTGCATTCCAGCCTGGGTGACAAAGCAAGACCCTGTCTCATTCAAAAATTTAAAAAAAAAAATTATTAAGTTTTTGGACTGATAAATATATATGATGTTACCAAATCCAAAAGATACAATAATAAGTGTGATGAATATAAGTCTCCCTTCCACATCATCCTCCCATACTTGCTCCATAAAGGCAAACACTGTACCCGGTTTTCCCAAATACCTCTTTCAGAGATCCTATATCACAACATATACAGACAGACATATATATACACACACACTATATATACCTTACTTTCTCACAAATCATTTAATTTCTATTGAATGTCTCACATTAATGTGCAAAGAGCCACTTCATATTCATTTTGATGACTACATAGAAATCCAGTATACAATAGGTATCATTTTATAAAACCAGTACTATCTTAATGGACTTTTAGGTCAAATATTTTGCTATTAAAAACAATGCAGTAATGAATATATTTGTATGTAAGATATTTTGTTTACATACAAGTATACCTGTAGGATCAACTGCTAGGATAAGGTTGCTCCTTCACAGGGTAAATGTATTTTGATTTTTGATAAATATTATAAAATTACTGTCCACAGATGGGACACATCCTTTTTAACACACTCTAATACCAAATACTCTTGAATTTCCTAGTTTAACTGTTGGAAAATGGTATTTTAAAAAATGCAAACTAAAATGACATTAAATATGCTTACCGTCATTTCATATTCTTAAGTGTTCTTTACTTATAGACTCTGTTTGTACCTCTTGAGCCATTTTTTAACCTGTTTGTTGATCTCCTTTATTTTTAGTTACTTTTTTATTAAGGAAATTAACTCTTTTTGTCTATGACACAAATTTTGAATATTTTTTTCACTGTTTGTCTCCCTTCTAATTAGGTGTTTTCTACCATATCAGAAAGGTCTCCCTCAAAGAGAACACCAAAAAATTCTCCTAAGTTTTCTCTATTACAGTTGTAGATTCACTGCTTATGTTTAACTGTTTGACCCACTGGCATTTTGGTATAGAGATCCAACTTCATTCAGATATCCAGTTTTAATAAACCATTTCACTACTAATTTGAAAAGCCAGCTCTACCATATAGGACAGAAGTTGGCAATCTTTTTCTCTATGGGGCCCGATAGTACAACAACCTAATATTTTAGCTTTTGTGTCCCGCCATGTTGCCCAGGCTAGTCTTGAACTCCTAGGCTCAAGTAATCCTCCTCCTTCTGCCTTCCCAAGTGCTGAGATTACAGACATGAGCCATTGTTGCCCAGCTGGCTGAGTTTCAATTGAAATTAATTTTTAAAAAACAAATGGCAGATCTGGTTTAGATGCATCCACTTTTGAACTTGATATTATAGGCATCCACCAAACACATAGGCTTTATAAAGAATATGGGAATATAGGCCGGGCGCGGTGGCTCACGCTTGTAATCCCAGCACTTTGGGAGGCCGAGGCGGGTGGATCATGAGGTCAAGAGATCGAGACCATCCTGGTCAACATGGTGAAACTCCATCTCTACTAAAACTACAAAACATTAGCTGGGCATGGTGGCGCGTGCCTGTAATCCCAGCTACTCAGGAGGCTGAGGCAGGAGAATTGCTCGAACCCAGGAGGCGGAGGTTGCAGTGAGCCAAGATCGCGCCATTGCACTCCAGCCTGGGTAACAAGAGCAAAACTCTGTCTCCAAAAAAAGAAGAATATGGGAATAGCAAGCTTCTATCTAAAAAGTCCTATCACAGCCGGGCACAGTGGCTCATGCCTGTAATCTCAGGACTTTGGGAGGCCAAGGCAGGCAGATCACCTGAGGTTGAGAGTTCAAGACCAATCTGACCAACATGGTGAAACCCCATCTCTACTAAAAATACAAAAATTGGCCGGGTGTGGTGGTGCACGCCTGTAATCCCAGCTTCTCGGGAGGCTGAGGTAGGAGAATCGCTTGAACCTGGGAGGCAGAGGCTGCAGTGAGCTGAGATCATACCACTCCAGCCTGGGCAATAAGAGCAAGACTCCATCTCAAAAAAAAAAAAAAAAAAAAAAAAAAAAAAAAAAAGTCCTATCACTCATTAGTTATGTCTGCAGAAAAAGTTAATATAGAAGACCTACAACTGCTCTCAAAAAGGCCTGCCTGATGACCATACCCTGGCTGATGTGTGAAAACTTGGACTGCCGGTACATGCTTGGTAAAGGGTGCCAACATACTAACTATTAGAGTGGCTCACTGTGTTAAGAATGTCTGTATAAACAATGTGGTTTATGCTCAACACCTGCTTTCCTTCTAGGAAACTGTAATTTTACAATGTGTTAGGCACAGGGTGCCTACATTTCTTGCCCCAGTAAAAAGTTTGGGCACTGAGTTTCTAATGATTTCCCTTGGTAGACTAGACATCACTTCAAACCCAGAAGTGGTTTCAGGTACTTCAAACACAGTAAGCCATTTCACATAGCAGAGAAATACACGTCCCTGTGTCTCTATATGCCCTAACCATAAACCAGCCCACATGGCCAGCTCCATAATTAATGAAATTCCCTGCTATTCCTTAACACAGTGTGGCATGTGAGTGCTGATGGGGAATCATGGCTTAATGTCACAATTTCTGTGGAAGTTTAGTTTAGAAAACATTCATTTTATACGTGGGACCTTTATAATACAAACCACGGAACATAAAGCTTGACAAAATCATAGTGGATACTTGGAAATGTTAGAATGAGAAAGCATGAGTGTGTGTGATTTAAAAAACTGTCCAGGCTGGGCATGGTGGCTCACATCTGTAATCTCAGCACTTTTGGTGGCCGAGGTGGGTGGATTGCCTGAGTCCAGGAGTTCCAGACCAGCCTGGGCAACATGGCAAAACCCTGTCACACAAAAAAATACAAAAAAATTAGCCAGGAGAGGTGGCACGTGCCTGCAGTCCCAGCTACTAGAGAGGCTGAGGTGGGTGGATCAACTGAGCCTGGGAGGTCAAGGTTGCAGTGATATGTTACTACACCACTGTATTCCAGCCTGAGCAAGAGAGCAAGATCCTGACTCAAAAAACAACAATAAAGTAAAGTATTTTCTAGGCTGGATATAGTGGTGCACATCTGTAATCCCAGCTACTCAGGAGGCTGAGATGAAAAGACTGCTTGAGGCCAAAAGGCGGAGATCAGCCTGGGCAGCACAGGAAGACCCCCATCTCAAAAAAAAAAATGTCTTAAAATGTTTTCCACATTCCACATTTTATCGTCACCCTATTCTAACAGAGCTCAGAAAACTCTGTCCATGCATTTACACAAAGTGTTACATGCTCATATTTGCATGCTTTTATTCTTCAAGGCACATACTTACCATCATTACTACTACTACTGATAATGACACTATCAAGAACAACAACAGTGCAGGTACTGTACAACAAAGGAAGACTGATTTAACTTAGAAACTGCAAGAGTTCTACTAAAAAGAAACAACTCTGGACAAGTTCCACATTAGTATTCACAAGTCGCTGGGCGCGGTGGCTCAAGTCTGTAATCCCAGCACTTTGGGAGGCCGAGGCAGGTGGAGCACGAGGTCAAGAGATCGAGACCATCCTGGTCAACATGGTGAAACCCCATCTCTACTAAAAATACAAAACATTAGCTGGGCATGGTGGTGCGTGCCTGTAATCCCAGCTACTCAGGAGGCTGAGGCAGGAGAATTGCCTGAACCCAGGAGGCGGAGGTTGCGGTGAGCCGAGATCGCGCCATTGCGCTCCAGCCTGGGTAACAAGAGCGAAACTCCGTCTCAAAAAATAAATAAATAAATAAAACAAGTCAACACACTCTGTCAAAGCTTGGCACGTTCTCAGTTGGGGCAAACCCACAATGTATACTTACCAAAATGACTGAGGACTGAGGGCTGGGATGTTGGGGGCTTGAGGTCCCAAGAAGTAGTAGTTGCAGGGTGACTTGCACTGTTCTGCTGTGTACTTGGGGTGGTGGTAAACTGGCCCAAACTTGGAGCTTTCATCTGGTCCAAAATCTGGGAGCTTGTGATGTTTGCCATTTTTGGTGGTGCAAGCTCTCCAAATCCTGAGCCAAGGACGGATGACTTTAAAAGGGGGATAAAAGAACAAATCCTCAGCAATACAGAATTTTTACCCGAAGCTTTAAAACACATCAAGTATTTTCATAAGCATGTTAAAATCTATAATCTGAAACATGTGAATTACTAAAATATAACTTAGAAAATACTACATGAAAATATTCCTGTGCCATAAAAGCTAATTAAATACAGCTATCCTTCCTCATTCTGACATAAGAAGTTAAAGGGAAGAGAAGTATTTCTTATGAATTTGAAGAAATCAGTTTTTTTAAAAGTGATGTCATAAGTTCACAATTAAATGTTATTATTTTAAAAACTAAAGAGAAATGCCAAGAAGTAAATGACAAAGATATGCATGACCAACACACACACACTATTTTCCCAATCTGTGAACCACAGCCTTCATCTTTAATAATGACAAGATGTTCAAAGAAGAGATCAGCTGGAGATGACCCTGCAAGATCAAATACAGGTCAGGCCGGGCACAGTAGCTCACGCCTGTAATCCCATCACTTTGGGAGGCTGAGGTGGGTAGATCACCTGAGGTCAGGAGTTAGAGACAAGCCTGGACAACATAGTGAAACCGTGTCTCTACCAAAAACACAAAAATCTGCCAGGCACAGTAGCACATGCCTGTAACCCCAGCTACTCAGGAGGCTGAGACAGGAGAATTGCTTGAACCTAGAAGGCGGAGGTTGCAGTGGCCGAGATCACGCCACTGCACTCCAGTCTGGGTGATAGAACAAGACTCCGTCACACACACACGCGCGCACACACACACACACACGCAAGACTTCGTGGCAAGACTTTGTCACACACACATACACACACAAGCAAGACTCCATCTCTCTCTCTCTCTCTCTCTCTCTCTCTCACACACACACACACACACACACACACACACACACAGAGCACCCAAATCCCAATCCCAATCCCAATCCCAAAGATGAGGACACGTTTTGTCTTAGAGACTCAGGAAATATCATTATTACTTCTGTTGCTGTCATTTACTAGGTTCCCCACTGATTTTATTTTATTATTAATTATTATTTAGAGACAAGATCTTGCTATCAACCCAGGCTGGAGGGCCACAGAACAACCTCCTGGGTTCAAGTGATCCTCCAGCGCCAGCCTCCCGAGCAGCTGGGACTACAGTAGCTAGGATTACAGGCATGTGCCAAGATGCCAGTTGACTTTAATTCAGCGAGATGAGGTCTTGCTATGTTGCTGGGCTGGTCTGAAATTCCTGGCATCTCACAATTCTCCTGCCTCAGCCTCCCAAAGTGCTGGGATTACAGGCATGAGCCACCATGCCTGGCCTCCCCAGTAATTTTTTTTTTTTTTTCTTTTTGAGACAGTTTCTCTATTGTTGCCCAGGCTAGAGCACAATGATGTGATTACAGCTAACTGCAACCTCCGCCGCCCAGGTTCAAGCGATTCTCCTGCCTCAGACTCCCAAGTAGCTGAGATTACAGGCGCCTGCCACCACGCCTGGCTAATTTTTGTCTTCTTTTTAGTAGAGATGGGGTTTCACCATGTTGGCCAGGCAGGTCTCACACTCCTGACCTCAGGTGATCCACCCACCTCCGCCTCCCAAAGTGCTGGGATTATAGGTGTCAGCCACTGCGCCCGGCCCCCAGTGATTTTTAAAGCACGGCAGTGTTGAGAACTACTGTTCTAATACAGTGCCACACAAACAATTCTTATTCTGCTTTCTCATGTTGGTGATTCTCATGCTGGTCACGACATAAAGCAACATATCTTAAGATCACTAAAAACTCAAATGCTTTATCAACTCAGTAGGCAGGCATAGATTTCAGCAAGTCAGGAAGGGCATTACAGAATTATACCAGTAGCAGAGGGAAGGGCAGAGGAAGAAAGGACAATGGTGCTTCAATTAAAAATCAGGGTTATTAGGCCTTCTCAAAATAGAGAAGCCTTAGGCTGTCCTACTTCAAGCACTGACACCCCTCATATATCAATGATACTAAAAACACCAAGTCTCTAAACCCAACACATGATATGGCTACACAGAGGAGAACATAGTATTGAAAAGTTTCAATATTCAATTTTCAGTTTTATCAGGGTACAAGTGACTTGACTCAGACAGGGGAGTAAATTCTGTTTCTCAACAATACATTTCAGGAAAAACACAGCAACAAACTAAAATAATTACCCCTAGTGAAAGCTGTAGTTCTGTGTCCATAGACCTTTCCAACTTCCCTTTGCCAGCTCAGAACTTCCTATAGTCGGGTAGGAACTTCAGTTCACCATTCTAAAGCGACATTCTTTCACAAGCTATGATCTAAGCTTATACTTCCATAAGGCCATCTTCAAAGCCTTCATTAACAGTTCCTGAAGTTCCTTCTGATGGGAGCTTAACTCACATTGGAAGTCAGGGTCATACAGCACTAAATGACACTGTTTCAATAAAATCACATCCAAACTATAAGGGCCTCTGTTACATCATTTAGAATTTTAAGAAAATGTAGCCTATTTTACGAATGAAAAAAAAAAAGCAAAAAATATAAGCTCCTAGGCAGACTTAGAACTGTTTTTACATGATTTTACAGCAAATCAATTCTGATAAACTTTTGCATTTAAGTAAACTGGAAAACAAGTGAGAAAATGAATATATTAACTATAGAGACAAAATCCAAGGAAAACATCATTCAGAAGAAAGGGGTGCTTTAGATCTCAAGAGTGATCATCAGTTGAAAGAATTCCACGAACCATAAAAAAAAATTTTATCTTTGTTCAGGAAACTCAGGTAGTTGAATTCCACACGGAATCATCAGATATGTGCTTGGAAATTACCTCATTGCTTTTGGGACTGAGATCTACTGTAGAATTTTTTGTTGTTTTAGAGACAGGGTCTCGCTCTGTTGCCCAGACTGGAGTACAGTGGCATGACATGGCTCACTGCAGCCTCAAACTCCTGGGCTCAAGTGATCCTCCAACCTCAGCCTCCCAAGTAACTGGGACTACAGGAACACAACACCACACTCAGCTAATCTCAGCTAATTTTTGTTTGTTTTTATGTAGAGATAGAGTCTTGCTTTGTTGCCCAGGCTGGTTTCAAACTCCTGGGTTCAAGCAATTCTCATGCCTCAACCTCCCAAAGTGCTGGGATTACAGGCATGAGCCACCATGCCCAGCCTTACATAGAAATTTTTACATTAAGAAAGTAATTATGAGGCATGTGTCATATGCTAGAATATATTTGCTAATGGGCACATTTCTTAAAATTCCATACTGAAATAAAAGTGAAGTTACCAGGCTCTGAGGAGAATAGGTGTTGACAGCAGTGGAGCTGCCAGTCCCTGGTGCCATCTGATTGTTGTGTTGCGAGTTTGTGAAGACAAGGGCTTGGCCAAAGCCCTGCTGTTGGGAAGTTTCAAAGGAGCTGGCTTCTGAAGCTTGACTGTGAGGAACAGGCTTCTGGAGCAAGGCTACCAGATCAATGCTAAGCAGACAAAAAGCAATGAGGAACCAGTCATAAGCAAATCTTAAACAAATGAATTTAAGAAGTCAATCAATATATAGTGAATTTACATTAAAAGTCAAATGGGGAGAACCTTTGGAAAATGGGATTTAAGGGGGCAAAAGGAGGGCGTCATCCATCCAAAAAAGCATACAAAGCCACAGAGACTGAAGCAAGGCTTTTCAGAGAAAAGAATCTAAAGGTGTACTGAGAAATTTTCCCAGTAATAACTAACATATTAAGGACTGATTTGAAAACCTGGCGCAATAAAGTAAAATTAAACAATTTTCTGAAGTTTGGCTCATTTCACCTAGAATATTTTACCCATTTATTACTTAAAACCAGAGTTCCTAATAGACCCATATTTTTAGGGAATAAAGACCTCAGCTGCAGTAGACAATTCAGTAAGTTTCACTTTTTTTTTTCTGAGACAGTGTCTCACTTTGTTGTCAAGGCTGGAGTGCAGCAGCGTGATCCTGGCTCACTGCAATCTCTGCCTCCCAGGCTTAAGCGATTCTTGTGCCTCAGCCTCCAGAGTAGCTGGGATTATATTATAGGCATACGCCACCACACCCAGCTAACTTTTGTATTTTTAGTAAAGACAGGGTTTCACCATGTTGGCCAGGCTGGTCTCGAACTCCTGACCTCAAGTGATCCACCTGCCTTGGCCTCCCAAAGCAATGGGATTACAGGCATGAGCCACCCTGCCCAGCCAAGTTTCACATTTATCTTAAATTTTTACATTCCATCCCATGACATATTTAAGTGTGTATACATACACACAGACATACACACCCCCATATAATTTTATCTTTAAAATATTCAGGAATAAATGCACAGTATAATAACAAATATACTGTTAACCAGAACTCTTAAAACACCCCCAGAAAGACAGATATTCCAGTTAGGACTACCTAACAAGAATGAGCTACAAACTTCCTATACCAACTCTTCTCTAAACTTACCTAGTGTAGTAGGACCTGCCACATACACCACATTACCTAACCTGGTAATGAATGCCAGTAAATCCTTTCAAAGACCAGTTTCTATCAGTTCTCCTAACTGATATTGTCACCATGCCAATGCGACAGGCAGATTCTGGGACAATTCAAAAAAACTCATTCCTGATACAGGGCAAAGTTCCTGGGCCTGAGTTCCTCACCCAATAGCTAAGCTGAATTTCATGACAATGATCCCAGTACATTCACTGAATCCTAAATACAATATAGAAAGTATGTGCATTTAACAGGAAATTCTATACAATCTCAAAACAATATTCAAGACATAACCATTAATCATTTTTATTTCCCTACAATGAAATCTCATCACCATCTCCTTTAGCATGAGATTGATCATGTCAGGTTCAAAACTGCCTTCATTTCTAAGTTATCATATTTATCCACGCTTTTATCTTTCCAGACCACTACCCTTTGAAACCATTTTCTTTTCTTTTTTTTGACACAGAGTCTGACTCTGTCGCCAGGCACCAGGCTGGAGTGCTGTGGCATGATCTCTGCTCACTGCAACCTCCACCACCCAGGTTCAAGCAATTCTCCTGCCTCACCCTCCCGAGTAGCAGGGACTACAGGCACACGCCACCACGCCCAGCTAATTTTTGTATTTTTAGTAAAAACAGGGTTTCACTATGTTGGCCAGGATGGTCTCGACCTCTTGACCTCATGATCTGCTCGCCTCGGCCTCCCAGAGTGCTGGGATTACAGGCGTGAGCCACCATGCCCAGCCTGAAACCATTTTCAAAGGTGTTTAGAGTCAGTGTGAAAACTAGAACATAAATAAATGCTCTTAAGTCATTCGGTTCAGTGCACATTCTAAGAATGTTGTTGTTATCCGAAAAGTTCCTTCCTTTTCTGTAACCTAGTAGAGTAAAACTAGTAGAACCCAAATAAGAAATCTGTATTAGTTTCAGAAGATCTAAATAAATGGCACACGAAGAAACCAAAGGATATAAGGTATTAAGTGAATTCTGTCCAAAAAAAAAAATGGTCTACAAAAGTGAAAAGAACAACCGTTAGTTTAACATGATCTCTGCAACAACTGCTAACAAATCACAAAAGTACTGTTTTAATTCATCAGTAGATACACCAATTAGGAAATGGTTTAAGCTCTGTCAGATTACCAAGTAGCAGTAAAATAAAGGTTAGCCTTGGATAAAAAGGGAAAAAATAGAGACCCAAAAATGAAAATAATTTTCCTGAGGCAAAAGATTTCAGTAATGCTTTGAATAACAAATATAAGATGGCAAAAAGTATTTACCTTTGTCCAGGTGAGATGTGATTCTCTGCTGGAGCAGATGAGGCAGTGAAGACCTTTGTTTCAGAAAGCTGTATGGAAAGTTGAAAAATTTAGTCTTATTCTATATGCTATTAAACCTAAGACACTGACTCCCTGATCATTTGTAGTCATCAGTAGCACTCTCTTCTCCTAACAGCTATTTTAAAGAAAATGAAATATACAAGTGACCATGACAAGTAATTTTCAAGTGAATGTAATTTTTTTTTTTTTTTTGAGACAGGGTCTGGTCATGTCATCCAGGAAGGAGTGCAGTGATGTGATCTCAGCTCGCTGCAATCTCTGCCTCCTGGGCTAAAATGATCCTCCTACTTCAGCCTCCTGAGTAGCTAGGACTCCAGGCGCACACCAGCACGCACCACCACACCAGGCTAATTTTTGCATTTTCAGTAGAGACAGGGCTTTGCATGTTGCCCAGGATAAACTCCAATTCCTGGACTCAAATGATGCACCTACCTCAGCCTCCAAAATTGTTGGGATTACAAATTTAAGGCATGGCGCCTGGCTGCAAGTGAAGATAATTTTAGATGGAAAGGCCTACAGGAATGATTTCAAATCAGGAAAATGATGAGACTAACGGTAAACAACATAGTGAAACAGTCAAACCAGGGCTCAAGCCCCAGACTCACTTCTCTATTTGCCGTTACACAAAATGAGAATACCAATAAACCCATCAACGTTGCTACCAAAAATGCCAAAAAGAAGTTGAGAAGGTGGCCAGGCATGGTGGCTCACACCTGAAAGCCCAACACTCTGGGCAGCCGAGGCAGGAGGATTATTTAAGGCCAGGAGTAACAATTCATCTCTAGAAAAAAATTTTAAAAATTGGCTGGTCATGGTAGCATGCACCTGTCTCAGCTACTTGCGAGGCTGGGGCAGGAAAATCATCTCAGCCCAGGGGTTGAAGATGCAGTGAGCCAGGATCACACCACTGCACTGCAGCCTGGGGGACAAAAAAAAAAAAAAAGAGTTTGAAGAGGTGAAATAATCGATGTTTTCTCCCCCCAAAGACAGATACCTTTTGTATTTAATTAACTAGTAATTTAATTTCATTTTTATTAAACCATGGATTCTATTATTTTTTAAAAATTAATTTTATTGCATTCTAACAAATCTAATAAATGGCAAATATTCAAACCGAATGACTGATTAAGTCTGGCATATGTAGGCTCCCATGAAACCATCACCACAATTAGGACAATGAACATATTCTTTACTTCCCCACAATTTTCACCTGTCCCTGTGGAATCACTCACTCCCACTGCTTGTCTGCATCCCCAGGCAACCAGTGACATACTTTCTGACCACTACAGATTAAGCTGCATTTTCTAGAATTTTAAATTAAATAATGAAAGTATCCAAGCCTTTATTCTTGGCTTCTTTCACTCAGCCTAATTATTTTGAGATACATGTACACTGTTATAACTCACTTTTAGGACATTCAGGATAAATTTTTTGAAACCTCAACTGACATTAATGAAAGATACATGTCCTTTTTATGTTTTCAATGTGGGGGTTGCAGTGAGCCAAGATCATGCCACTGCACTCTAGCCTGGCGACAGAGCAAGACTACATTTCAAAAAAGAAAAACAAAAAACAAAAAACAAAACCCCAGACTTCCTGCCTGACACAGTATGTGTACGAAGGAGATTGTAGGTGTTCATTTTCTTCAACAACATGAAAGTGCTAAATTGACTAGTGATTCAAATCAACAAGAAGGGCCTATGTTGCATCCTATTCCAAAATAGAGTATGTGTGGGAAGGGTATTTTTTTTTTCTTCTTTCTTTTTTGGGAGACAGACCTCACTCTGTCAACCAAGCAAGGCTGCAGTGACATGACCACTGAAGCTCACTGCACCTGCAAACTCAACCTCCAAGGCTCAAGCAATCCTCTCACCTCCACCTCCTGAGTAGCTTGGACTATAGGCACTCACCATCACACCAAGCTATTCTTAAAATTTTTTGTAGAGACAGGGCCTCCCTGTGTTGTCCAGGCTGCTTCTGATCTCCTGGGCTCAACTGACCCTCCTGCCTCAGCCTCCCACAGTGCTAGGATTACAGGCATGAGCCACTGTGCCTGCCACAAGGTAGTATACTTTCATAGTCCCAAGTGAACCCATTTTTGCCTCAAAGAAACTTACAAATTGAATCAATTTAAGAAAAAAAGAAAAAAAAATCTGAGGTAAATGAGATGTACTATAATCAGTGACATGTCTAAATACGGTAAAATATAAAACATTAAATGGTTTCCTTCTATTTTTCTTTTTTTAAAGAAAGGGCCAAGCACGAAGGCATGCACCTGTAATCTCAACTACCTGTAGGCTGAGGCGAGAGTATCCCTTGAGCACAGGAGTTTGAGGCCACAGTGAGCTGAGCAACAGTGCAAGACCTAGTCTCCAAAATAAATAAAAAAGCCGGGCACAGTAGCTCATACCTGTAATCCCAGCCCTTTGGGAAACCAAGTCAGGCGGATCACTTGAGATCAGGAATTCCAGATCAGCCTGGTCAACGTGGTAAAATCCCATCTCTACTGAAAATACAAAAACTGGCCAGCCGTGGTGGTGGGCAACTGTAACCCCAGCTACTTGGGAGGCTGAGGTGGGAGAATCACTTGAACCCAGAGGTGGAGGTTGCAGTGAGCCAAGATCAAGCCACTGCACTCCGGCATGCGCAACAGGGCAAGACTCCATCTCAAAAACTAAAATAAAAAATAATTAAATTTTTTTAAAAAGGAGGAAGGAGGTGACGTTATTGTTCTGAAATCTAGAAGGAATCCACAATTCACATTTTAGATGACTCCCCTACCAATCACCATTATTTTGTATCACCTCAAAAAATTTAAAATTTTTGATGATTCTGGCCAGGTATGGTGGCTCACACCTGTAATTCCAGCACTTTGAGAGGCTGAGGTGGGTGCATCACGAGGTCAGGAGATTGAGACCATCCTAGCCAACACGGTGAAACCCCATCTCTACTGAAAACACAAAAAAATTAGCTAGATGTGGTGTCGCACACCTGTAATCCCAGCTACTTGGGAGGCTGAGGCAGAACTGCTTGAACCCAGGAGGTGGAAACTGCAGTGAGCCAAGATCCTGCCACTGCACTACAGCCTAGGCGACAATGAGAAACTCCATCTCAAAAAAACAAAAAACTGATGATTCCAAAGAAAAAATGCCCAAATTCCCTCTGCTAACTCTTTTCAAGAATTACATACTTTGATACAGCAAAATATTAACGTCTCTCTATAGTATATATATATACTGCCTGATACCAGGTGTTCATCAAAAGACTTCATCTGACCCACAAAAAACTCCAATAATTTAGACAGGAGAGCTATCATGATTCATTACATAGAGGAAAAATAGGAGGCTGTGGCAAAGGCATAAGGAAAGATGCCTTGTTAAAGGTCGACAGCTAGAATTTACATAGAATTATGCCTTCTGATCCCTTGCTGATTTTCTAACATGCCTGCTAATCCTGACAGGCAACCAGATATAAGGCTTTTAGCCCTGCAACCTTCTCCCACCCCACCTTGCAACAAAACCTTAGCAAAAATTCTAATACAAAACATTTATAAGTAGGATGGCTCTGTTTAAAATAAGGTAAGGTGTCCATAGACTGTTCACTTTGACTTCCCTTTAACACTATTGGCCGACATTCCACTGATTTAAGTGGTCAAGTCCAGCCCCTGATACTAAAGGTATCAAACATCATACCTGTATGATGCACAGTCAGAGATAGCTAGAGAGCCAGGTGGCACCACAACACTAAGGACTTTCAATTAGTATGTGGCAGCAGTGAAAATATCCCCCAAATCCCAACTAAATGAGCATATCTACTCTCAGTCTTTGCCACCCAGCTCACTCCTAACAAGCTAGATATAATCCTGCTAAAAGAAGAAAGGAGGCCGGGCGCGGTGGCTCACGCTTGTAATCCCAGCACTTTGAGAGGCCGAGGCGGGTGGATCACAAGGTCAAGAGATCGAGACCATCCTGGTCAACATGGTGAAACCCCGTCTCTACTAAAAACACAAAAATTAGCTGGGCATGGTGGTGCATGCCTGTAATCCCAGCTACTCAGGAGGCTGAGGCAGGAGAATTGCCTGAACCCAGGAGGCGGAGGTTGCGGTGAGCCGAGATCGCGCCATTGCACTCCAGCCTGGGTAACAAGAGCGAAACTCCGTCTCAAAAAAAAAATAAAATAAAATAAAATAAAAGGAAGAAAGGAAGCATAAGTACAAAGTTTGAAAAAACTTCTGAGTTAAGTCCAAAAACTGCTTAATTTTAGGCAGGCATGCTGGCTTACACCTGTAATCCTGGCACTTTGGGAGGCCAAGACGAGAGAACTGCTTGAGCCTGGGGAGGCTGCAGCGAGCTATGATAGCACCACTACACTCCGGCCTGGACAACAGAGCAAGACTGTCTCTAAAAAAAAAAAAAAAAAAAAATTAAAGTACTTATTTTTTACAAGGTAAAATGAATCTATCTATGGTAGTGGGTCGTTCAAACACCACTTAAACCCCAAATAATACTGTATGTGAAGGAATAGTAAGACCCTAGGAACAACGCTAAGGTCATTAAACAAGTTAAGTAGAAATCATGTTTCTTGTTTCCCATTCCAAGCAGGTCCTATAAGCATAAATGGAAACACATAAGGAGACAAAGAGAAAGATAGAAATCTCAAAGTCTGGGTCATTGTACACAGTTCTGAAGATCTGTATTTGTAACCCATTTATTATTTCCCTCTCAATGTCTGCTCAAATTCTGTGTCAGGCAGATACCAAACTCAAGAGCTCTGTAACCTGGCAGTCAAACAGAAAAGAGGTATAAAATATGGTATTGAGTTATTTATTCCTTTTTTCTCTTTATTATTTAACGTATTTTTTTCAAAAAAAAAAAATTATTATGCTGAAAGCAGAACTTACAGACAGACAGTACCCAGAAGCTAGTGTAGTATGCTCAAAAATGTCTGTGGAATAAAGAAATTTTTTTTTTTAAAAAAACAGTTCTTCTAGTCAAAAGAGGAAGAGCTTGGGCATGGAACCAGAGCAACTTATTCAGGTCAATAAGACCTAAAATATATACTCCTTTAATCAAAATATTCTAAAGAATAACAGTTCACAAATCTGGGCAACAGTGTCAGCTGGCTATCAGGTCAAACAAAACAGAGATAAGCTTTGAAATAAAAAAATCAACCCTACTTAACACCTGATAATTTTGTTTGTTTGCTTTTAGATGGGTTCTTTCTCTGTCACCCAGGCTGGAGGGCAGTGGAGCGATAATGTAGCCTTGAGCTCCTGGTCTCAAGAGATCCTCCTGCCTCAGCATTCCGACTGAGACTAGATGTACACCCCCACAACCGAGGTAATTTATTTTTAATTTGTTTTTTGTAGAGAGAGGGGTCTGTCTCACTTTGTTACCCAGGCAGGTCTCATATTCCTGGCTTCAAATGATCCTCCTACCTAAGCTTCTCAGACTGCTGGGATTATAGTTGTGAGCCACTGCACCCAGCCTAACACCTCAACCTTTCCCCCCACCCCCATTTCCCATATCATCTTGATACTTGGTCATTTTTAAGCATAAAAACAAATATTCTTAAAAATCTGAAAACACCAAGTTCCTTCTGAGAAGCATCTGCTAAAAAAGCTGGTTCTCTAAAAATCTGGCTATGATACATGCCAGAAAAGAAGCCAAGATGAGATAGGATGTCTCAGGCTTTCTTCTAAGCATCAAAGCCCCCACCAAACACCGAAAGAAAGGTCTTGGCCGGGCATGGTATCTTATGCCTGTAATCCCAGCACTTTGGGAGACTAAGATGGGTGGATCACTTGAGGTCAGGAATTTGAGACCAGCCTGACCATCATGGTGAAAAGTGTCTCTACTTTAAAAAAAAAAAAAAAAAAATACAAGGCCAGGTGCAGTGGCTCATGCTTGTAATCCCAGCACTTTGGGAGCCCAAGGAGGGCAGATTATCTGAGGTCAAGAGTTCTAGACCAGCCTGGCCAACGTGGTGAAACCCTATCTACTAAAAATACAAAAATTAGCTGGTCATGGTGGCGGGTGCCTGTAATCCCAGCTACTCAGGAGGCTGAGGCAGGAGAATCGCTTGAACCCGGGACGTGGTGGTTGCATCAAGCTGAGATAGCGCCATTGCACTCCAGCTGGAGCAACAAGAGCAAAACTATATCTCAAAAAAAAAAAGAAAAATTAGCCAGGCATGATGGCACATGCCTGTAATCCCAGCTACTTGGGAGGCTAAGGCAGGAGAATTGCTTGAACCTAAAGGTGGAGGTTGCAGTGAGTCAAGATCACGCCACTGCACTCCAGCCTAGGCAACAAAAGCAAAACTCCAACTCAAAAAAAAGAAAGCTTACATCTTCAGTCCAGTCTTCTGTTGTCCACTCTTCCACAGAATTCTTCCAAGCCCCTGTGGGTAAACAACAGCAATCAAATTTTATACCACAAGTCTAACACAGTCTGAATCCAAATGATTCCTTCTTGTGTACTATGCAGGAAAAAAGATTTACCTCTCATTAGTAATTTAGTTTACAACCCAAGAAACATGACATTCTTAATTAATTCTCAGTAAAAAAAATCAGTATTCTTTCTTTTCTCCCCTTCTCTTCGAAATAATGCTCACAAATGCAACTTGACTAGTAGTCACTATCTACATAACCTCAAATCAGTGTTTCAAATGGATTTTGCTTCATTGTAGGTCACATCCAACCAATTCTGCCATGAATAAGAAAGTATGGACATAGCACAAATGTAGACATTTAACAATGGTTTGATTTCTTATGACACAGTCTTTAAAACAACAAATTTCATTTTAAGGCAAATCTGCCTTGGACCCTATTTCAGGTGGATTACCGAGTATCAAATTTAGAGAAGTATCCTTTTTACAAAATATTAGCTCTACTACATGGTTTCCTAATAGGTCTCTAGCAGAGCTTAACATCACTCCTGCTCATATCAAGTCTGCTGCTTTAAGTTCTGGAATCAGTACACAGGATGCACTCAAAGAGTTCTTACAAATACTCAATCGTAACACATCTAAGTACTTCAAAGAAAAGTTGCTATTCAAAAAATGCTTACTACAGATCTTATATAAGTAGAGGGCCATTGTTTATAACATGCATAAAAAAAATCCCCATAGATAATGGTTTTAAAGGAAATATACTAAGAAATTAACTACAACTAACCCCAGAAAGGGGTATTATGGATGCTTTCAGGTCCTTTATAGGAAGAAAGCGTTAATCACCTGACACACAGAATTCCATTTCTCTCCAAAAGTTGTGTATGGAGAGGGAAAAGGAGGAGGGGCATGCTTGTGAGGGAAAAAGAAAGCAGGTAACCATGTCTACCTTCTTTAGAATCATGTAAATAGCCTAATAACTGACCTCCTCATAAGTAAAATGATGACTGTTTCCTAGAAAGAGAGTCCTTATCTATGGAATGTTTTTAGCAGGATATACTTGATTTCAGATTGGGATAGCTCTCTGTGAAATGTAATGTAAATTGTGGTAATATTTGGGTGTAAAATACAGGTATTTCAAAACTGAAAACATTTACTTCTGTGTGAGAAACCACTAATACACTGGAAATTTGGAGGATGAAGTTAATGAAAGCCAGAATGGTAAAAGAATGTTTGATGGTAAAGATGAAGCATAGCAAAAACCCTGGAGGTTGGAAAAGATCTGAACACACAGGGATATAAAGGAAAATTTCCAGGAGAAGAAAAACAATGAAATGTTACAAAAACCTACATTAAAAATATTAAAAGCATTCTAAAGCTTAAAATATACATTCTTTTTTCTCATTTTAAAAATTGCAATAAAATACAAATAAATTTGAGCAACTCAGCCACTATATGTACAGTTAATAGTAGTAAATTAAAACAGAATGTAGTAAGAATGACACGTAATAAGAGGCCAGGCGTGGCAGATCACAAGGTCAAGAGATTGAGACAATCCTGGCCAAAATGGTGAAACCTCATCTCTACTAAAAATACAAAAATTAGCCAGGCATGGTGGCACGTGTCTGTAGTCCCAGCTACTTTGGAGGCTGAGGTAAAAGGACCACTTGAACCTGGGAGATGGAGGTTGCAGTGAGGCAAGACTGCACCACTGCACTCCAGCCTGGCGACAGAGCAAGACTCCGTGTCAGGGAGGAAAAAGAAAAAAAGAATGATATGTAATAAGAATGGCCTACCGTAGCAATTCGGGAGATATCTTTAAAAAAAAATGTCTGGGTGTGGTGGCTCATGCCTGTAATCCCAGCACTGTGGGAGGCCAAGGCAGGCAGATCACAAGGTTAGGAGATCACAGCCAGCCTGGTCAGTATGGTGAAACCGTGTTTCTACTAAGAATACAAAAATTAGCCCTGTGTGGTGGCGTACGCCTGTAGTCCCAGCTACTTGGGAGGCTGAGGCAGAAAAATCACTTGAACCAGGGAAGCGGAGGTTGCAGTGAGCCAAGATTATGCCACTGTACTCCAGCCTGGGTGACAGAGCAAGACTCCATCTCAACAAAAAATAGTAATAATAACAACAACAACAACAAAGACTGGCCAACCACTTTGAGAGTAGTAATTTGAAAATAATTCAACACAACTTTGGACTTCTATAATAGGATGAGAATCTGAGTACATTTAAAAGCAGGTACAAGACACTATGTGGCCTGCAGGAAAAACGGGGCAACAGAAATAATTATAACCAGAAATGCAACATGATAGTGTGGTATGTCAGGAAATTACAGGGGAAACTCCCACGTCAGAAGCAAGTACCACGTTGTTGTAGGAACTAGCCATACCTACACAGACTATAAAAAATTCCAGACATTAAGTACAGAAGGCAGAGGCTCAGGTCCTACTCATATTTTAGAATATTAAAATTTTACTTTGGTCCACATTAGACCTACACCCCAAAACATAAGGGAAAAACTTCAACAATCCTTATTTTTAGCTTAAAATAATATATTTGAGATGAATGCTTTATGTTCAATTTAACTTGGTGTTAGTCTTCTATCGAATATATGTTAAAGAAGGCCACTTAGGAACAAGGAAAACGATGAAAATTCTGTGGCACCTTCAAAGTCAATTAATAAAACATTTCCATTAGCAAACTGAAAATGTGATTACCAAACAATTGGGTATAGTTTACAAACATTAATCTGATAAATTTTTATTAGCTAGCCTTGATATAAAAATAAAAAATATTACAAGCAATTTGTAAGATTCTTAATTTTAAAAATTAAAAAATTAAATATTCATACCTTTGAGTCCATAAGAACTTTTGTTTGGCAGATCCTGAGCTATGTTGTGAGAATTTGATGCCAGTTCTGTGGACCAATGTGAAATTAAGGGTTTAAACATACCAAAACAATGAAAGTATTTATTGCAAGAGAAGCTGGTCACCGCCAAAGTGAAGTATTATATGCTGCATTACTGCCCAAGGATAGTGAAACATAACTGAAATCCATACTGTTACAGGTCACTGCAAATCAAATTATGAATCTTATTCCTGATGGCTCTTGGACACTTAAATTACCTTAATTATTCTCATTCTCATTCTCATCCCCATGTTTAGCAAGCTCGCTTTTTATTCATCAAATCAAGTATTCTAATCTGTTCAACAGGTGCCAGTTTTTAGAAAATTTATAAATTAGCATTCTGAGTACACACAGTCTTTCTAGTTTGTTTGAGTGTTCCTCACATTGGGAATAGATTTGTGGTGATTATACTGTCAACAGTTGGGTTTCTGAGCCTATAACTCTCTTATCAACAAGCCAGTACCATTCTTTGAGGCCTCTGGAGAAACTGCCAGCACCATCAGCTGATGATATCCTTTAACTGTATTCTACAACAAACTCACTTTGCTTATCTAAATACTTTTCAGCAAGAAATCTGCGACTTTAAATAACTGGGAGGGGATGAAAGAAAAGGGACGATGAATGGGAAAATAAGAAAAAAAGTAACTGACTAATTCAACATTCTGCTTCAACACTTGCACAACATTCGGCCTCAAAGCCATGGAAGTGTGCACAACTTTCACACACAGTTCTTCCACACTGTGTGGAAGCTGTGCACAGTGGTGCAAGCCTGTAGTCCTGGCTACACAGGAGCGTGATGCAGGAAGATCACTTGAGCCCAGGAGTTTGAGGTTGTAATGCACCAGAATTATGCCTGTGAATACCAACTACACTCCAGCCTGGGAAACAAACTGGGACCCACGTCTCTTTTTAAAAAATAAAAAAATAAAATAAAATAAAAGCAGCAGCAGCAAGAGCCAGGCACAGTAGCTCACACCGGTAATCCCAGCACTTTGGGAGGCCGAGGTGGGCTGATCATGAGGTCAAGAGATAGAGACCAGCCTAGTCAACAGGTGAAACCCCGTCTCTACTAAAAATACAAAAATTAGCTGGGTGTGGTGGCACGCCCCTGTAGTCCCAGCTATTAGGAAGGCTGAGGCAGCAGAATCGCTTGAACCCAGGAGGCAGAGATTGCAGTGAGCTGAGATCACGCCACTCCCCTCCAGTCTGGTGACAGAGCAAGACTCCGTCTCAAAAAAAAAAAAAAAAAAAAAGGCAAGAAAATATCACATATAGAGTTTTGTTATGTTTTCATTCCACTTTTATAAAACCCTAAAAATGGGATTGTCAGGTTGTATGATAAAGGTATGCTTTCCCACCAGGCATGTATATGACTACCTGTTATTCCACAATCCTCACCAGTATGTGGAATTTTTAGTCTCCTTTAAAGCCATTTTAATAGGTGAATGGGGGTAACTCAATGTGGCTTTACTTTGTATTTCCCCAATGACTAATGACGATGAGCATGTTCTTGTGGATTTGTTTGCTATCCATTTACATTTTCCCTTGTAAATGCAAATCTTTTGCTCTTTTTATTAACTTTATGTTAAAATAATTATAGATTCACAGAAAATTATCCTGCAGCATTCTCCATGTTGAAATAGATATTACACAAAATTTACAGTTTCTAACTCTCTCCAGGTGTACAATTTAGTGGCATTGAGTACATTCACAATGTTGTACCAATTATCATTACTATCCATTTCCAGAACTTCTTCCATTTTTTTCCCCATTTTTAATTGCTCATTTGTTTTAGGGGGGTTATTTTCTTATTACTGAATTGTGAGAGTTCTTTATGTATTTTTCATATAAGTCCTCAATCAAATATGGATTTTATAAATATTTTCTCGAAGTCTATGGCTCATCCTATCATTTCATTTCTCTCTTCAAAAGAAAATTTTTAAAATTTTTGATAAAATGTACTTTGTCAAGTTTCTCTTTTATGACTCAGGCTTACTGGACCCTATATAAGAAATCTTTGCCTAACCTAAAGTCACTAAGATTTGCGACTAGCTTCTCTGTAAGTTGTGCTTTTAGGTTTCATGTTTAAGTGTAAACCTGGAGGATATTTTTTGTATATAGTATAATGTATGGCATTGAATTGCCTCATAATCTTTGCCAAAAACCAATGAGCCATATGTATATATGTTTATTTCTAAACTACTATGCTATTATGTGTCTATGCTTTTGCCAGTTCCACATTATCGTGCTTACCATAGCATTAGAGTAGTGCTTAACATCAGGGAATTTGGGTCTTAGAACTTTTTTGTTCTTTGCAAAATTGTTTAGGCTACTTTAGTCCCTTTATTATTACATAAAAATTTTAGAGTCAAGTTGTCAAGGCCAGGCTCAATAGCTCACACATGTAATCCCAGCACTTTTGGAGGCTGAGGTGGAGAGATCACTTGAGGTCAGGAGTTCAAGACTAGCCTGGCCAACATGGTGAAGCCCTGCCTCTACTAAAAATAAAAAAATAAAAAATAAAAAAATTAGCTGGGCATGGTGGCACACACCTGTAATCCTAGCTACTCAGGAGGCTGAGGTAGAAGGATCACTTGAACCCAGGAGGTGGAGGTTGCAATAAGCTGAGATCACAACACTGCACTCCAGCCTGGGTGACAGAGTGAGACTCCATTTCAAAAAAAAGGGAACCAAGTGGTCAAAAATCTGCTAAGATTTTGATTGGATTGTGCTAACGCTATCAATTTGGAAAGAAATGACATTTCAAAGATATTGAGTCTTCCAATTCATGAACACTGAATATGTTCCATTTTATGACGGTCTTTATTCTTTCCTAACATGTTGCATAGTATCAACATATAAATTTTGCATATAGTCAGAAATGGAATTTTTTTTTACTACTATAAGAAGTACTGTTTCTCTTATTCTTGTTTGCAATTGTTTATTGCTAGTAAAGAAGTACTATAATTTTTTTTTTTTTTTTTTTTTTTTTTATAATTTTTTTTTTTTTTTTTTTTTTTTTTTATTTTTTTTTTTTTTTTAAAAAATTTTTATTTTTTTTTTTTTTTTTTTTTTTTTTTGAGACAGTCTCATTCTGTCACTAGCGGTAGAGTGCAGTCTCACAATCTCAGCTCCCGGGTTCAAGCGATTCTCCTGCCTCAACCTCCTGAGTAGCTGGGATTAACAGGTGCCTGCCACTATACCCAGCTAATTTTTTGTATTTTTAGTACAGATGGGGGTTTCATCATGTTGGCCAGGCTGGCCTCAAACTCTGGACCTCATGATTTGCCCGCCTCAGCCTCCCAAAGTACTAGGATTACAGGTATGGGCCCAGCAAGAAGTACCATAATTCTATTTTAATGATGGTTATAATTCTACACGCATTTGTTAGAATTCACCCTCTGTACCTCTAAAAAGGGGAGAATTTTATCTCTCATACATATATATATATATATATATATATCACATCAACAAACTTCCTTTTTTAAAAAATCAGTGGGGAAAGTTTACATGAGACGGACTATCATGGATTAATAAATTCAAAACTGAGTTGTAAAAACTAAACGTCACAACAGTTTATTCCTCTATTATTCCTCTATAAATATCCCTCTATTATTGTCTTATTTTCTCTCAATATTGTTTTATATTTTTTCTAATCTTACATATCTTACATGTCATTAGACTTATTCCTAGGCATACCTGGTGTTTTACAAAGCTACCAGCAATTTTTTTCCGTTTTCTGTTTGTTGACGGTTTACAGAAATACATCCATTCATGAAACTTGTGTCATGTATCTTGTACTTGTGAAACTCTCCTATAATTTGTCTATAGATTCTTTTACACATTCACAAAAAAAAAAAAAAATTATTCTCCCTTTCCAATCCTTATGATTTACTTATTTTTTCTTTATTGCACTGGTTAGGACCTCCAGTACAGTGTAAATGGAAACAGTGAGCGCATGTGTTTTTATCTTGTTCCAGAGGAAAAACATTCAATATATCACCACTGACTGTAATATTTGCCATAAGTTTACAGATGTTCCTTATCTGATCAAGAAATTTCTTGTATTCCTAGTTGCCAGGGGTTATTTTTGTTTTTAATTAGTAAAAATATTTATTTCTACTCCTTTCATAGATCTCATTGTTCAGGAAACAATCATACATACATATATGGAATTATGTACTATCATATCACACTCTCTAAAGGCAAAGCACCATAGGTAAAGCTGATCAGCTATCTAGAATTATCAGCTTATGAAATCGTGATTCCTGATTTTACATTAATTTCTGAAAATCTGAAATGTCATCTCCAAAAAAAATGTTAAAGGGGCTGTAAAAACTGATCACTTTATTCACTATTATATTTGTAGATTGGAGTATATCTTCTTTAAAAAATGAAAAACTAAGAAGAAAATGCCACTCAACATCACTGATATGTCAACAGGTCAGCAGAGAAAAAAAAATACTATGATAAACTTGTCTCTTTGATACCAAGAAGAAATTCTACTCCAAGCTTCAATATACTTCCAGTATTTTAACTACATATTTCTTTACTGCTGCTCTTCAATCTTTTCCACATTTCATATTAGCAGAATGGTGCAGACTTTAAAACTTCATTGACAGGAGCAAATCCAGTTAAATCCACTAATTTCTTCTGAAAACGCACTCCATCAGATAACCCGGCAGTTTCATTCTCATGAATACTCTAGCCACGAAAAAATTCAATAGGACACAGACAAATCCAATGAATAGAAGAAGAAATCTATTGGGTTTGGGGATATTTGGTGCATTCAATTGGTCCAGGATTATAAAACCTAACCCTCCCATTGCAAACAGGAAGCTGAATGCAAGTCCTTCCATAACATATTGTCCATTTACTCTGTATGCCAAGAAAGCTACTGGCCTCTGATGCCCACGTTCAATCAGTCACAGAGCCAACATTTGGAGTTTCAATTATAACATCATAAATTATTCCTCTGGTGATGAGACACCACCACCAGAACATACACAGCCATGGCAGAGGGCATGTGCAGCCTGGTCAGCTTTCGGGTTGGGACATTTGAGCACTATGAATGGGATGCCGTACAAAGTCTCCATGTTGGTGGAATCAAAGGCCATTCTTGGGCTCGAGCCCCACATGTCACTCAGAAACACTGTTTTAATCATGAACAAATACTGAATTTTATTGAATGCTTTTCTTTATTGAAATGATCACACGGATTTTTCTCCTTAATTCTGTTAAGTGGATAGTACTCATTTCCATAGTATTTTTATATATAATGCACATAACAAGAAATCTACCCTTTTAAAGTAGACAGTTGAATGATTTTTAGTATATTCACAATTTGTGCAACCATCACCTCTAATTCCAGAACATTTTTATCACTCCAAAAACAAACCCCATACACATTCGTAGTGACTCACCACTTTTCCCAAACTGTTCCAGCCCCAGGCAACCACCAAGCTAACTTCTGTCTCTGTAAATTTGCCTAACTTGGACATTTCAGATAAATAAAATCTTAAAATACAATATATGTGGTATTTTTGGTTCTCTGCATTGTTTTCAAGGTTCATTCATGTTGTAGCATGTATCTTAATTCCTTTTTATGGCTGAACATTACTCCATTCTATGTATATTCTATATTTTGCTTATACATTCATCCACTGATAAACATTTAGGGTTTTTTTCCCCCCGGACCTGTTCAATAAGAAGTATGAGTTGTTTCTACTTTTGTATAATTATGCATTATATTGCTATGCATCCTTTTATACAAGATTTTATGTGACCCTGTATTTTGAATTCTCTTGGGTATGCATCTAGGAGTTGATTGATTTTTAAAAAGTTAAACAAAAAGCTGGGCATCGTGGCTCACAACAATAATCCCAGCAAATAGCTGGGTAGGACGATCTTTGAAGCCAGGAGTTCAAAACCATCCTCGGCAACAATTCAAGACCTTATCTCTACAAAAAAATTTAAAAATTCACCCGGTGCAGTGGTGTGTGCCTATAGTCCCAGCAGTAAGTACCAGAGAGGCTAAGGTGGGAGGATGGCTTGAACCCAGGGGTTCAAGGCTGCAATGAGCTATGATCACACCACTGCACTCCAGCCTGCGCAACAGAGTGAGATGTTCTCTCTTTAAAAAAGAAAGAGAAGAGCCGGGCGCGGTGGCTCAAGCCTGTAATCCCAGCACTTTGGGAGGCCGAGGCGGGTGGATCACGAGGTCAAGAGATTGAGACCATCCTGGTCAACGTGGTGAAACCCCGTCTCTACTAAAAATACAAAACATTAGCTGGGCACGGTGGCGCGTGCCTGTAATCCCAGCTACTCAGGAGGTTGAGGCAGGAGAATTGCCTAAACCCAGGAGGCGGAGGTTGTGGTGAGCCGAGATCGCACCATTGCACTCCAGCCTGGGTAACAAGAGTGAAACTCCGTCTAAAAAAAAAAAAAAAAAAAAAAAGGAAAGAAAGAAAAGAAGGTGGGGCGCAGTGGCTCATGCCTATAATCCCAGCACTTTGGGGAGGCCAAGGTGGGTGAATCATCTGAGGTCAGGAATTCAAGACCAGCCTAGCCAACATGGTGAAACTCTGTATACCAAAAATACAAAAAAAATTAGCCAGGTATGGTAGCAAACACCTGTAATTCCAGCTACTCGGGAGGCTGAGGCAGGAGAATCACTTGAACCCGAGAGGTGGAGATTGCAGCAGGCCGAGATCCACCACTACACTCCAGCCTAGGTAATAGAGACTCCATCTCAACCCACCCCCCAGACACCCTCCCACCCAAAAATTTATGCAAAACTTAAACACCAAGGGTAATTTTTTTTTTTTTTGAGACAGAATCCCACTTTGTCTCCAGGCTAAAGTGCAATGGCACAATTTCAGCTCACTGCAACCTGCGTCCTCCAGGTTCAAGCGATCCTCCCACCTCAGCCTCCCAGGTAGCTGAAACCACAGGCACATGCCACTTACGCCTGGCTAATTTTTGTATTTTTTGCAGAGATGGGGTTTCACCATGTTGCCCAGGCTGGTCTCAAACTCCTGAGCTCAAGTGATCTGCCCACCTCAGCCTCTCAACGTGCTGGGATTACATGTGTGAGCTACCATGCTCGGCCCAAGTATAATCTTAACCATGGACATGATGATCTGTTTCAGTCTTACTAAATTCTATTTTCAAATATTTCAGTTTCAGATTTTTACAAAAGTGAAATTAGTCATAATTCCAAATTTGTTGCCATAAAATTTGACATATTGAATCTTATAATCTCCTAATATCTATATGATCTATATCGATATTCCTTTTCTCCTTCCTGGAACCGATTATTCATGTTTCTTCACCTTGCCTTGATGGTCTCCTAAGAAACTTAACAATTTTACTAGTGCTTTTAAATAACAACTTATAAATTTTGCTGATTCTCTTTACAGTTTCTCTATTTACAGTTGATTAGTTGTGCTTCTGATTGTACTCTCTTACTTTTTGGCTATGGTTGATGTTATATGGATGTTCGTAGGCATTATTTTCTTTCTTTCTTTCTTTTTTTTTTTTTTTGAGACACAGGCTTGCTCTACTGCCTACATTGGGGTGAAGTGGCACAATCACAGCTCACTGCATCCTTAACCTCTCAGGCTCAAGTGACGGTCCCCACACTTTAGCCTCCCTAACAGCTGGGACCCCAGGCGCAGACCACCATGCCAGACTAACTTTTAAGTTTTCTTAGTAGAAATGAGATCTTATTATGCTAACCCAGGCTCCTCTCAAACTCTGGCTCAAGTGATCCTCCCACCTCAGCCACCTAAATGCTGAGATTATAGGCGTGAGCCACTACATCTGGCTTTGATAATTTATTGAGCTATATTCTAAATCAGGGTTATATTTCATTACGTTAAATTATGTTTTTTGGTTTCGTTTGTTTGAGGTGAAGTCTTGTTCTGTCGCCTAGACTGGAGTGCAATGGCACAATTTCAGCTCATTGCAACCTCCGCCTCCTGGGTTCAGGTGACTCTCCAGCCTCGACCTCCCAAGTAGCTGGGATTACAGGTATGTGGTACAACACCTGGCTAATTATTTTTGTATTTTTGTAGAGATGGGATTTCACCATGTTGGCCAGGCTGGTCTCCAATTCCTAACCTCAAGTGATCCACCCACCTTGGTCTCCCAAAGTAGATTATAGGTGTGAGCCACCACTCCTGGCTCAATTATGTTTTTATAGGTAAAATCTTAATACTTAGTGTACAAAGAGCTGTATATAAATAAACAACCAATATCTACCCCAAGAATTTCAGAAAATAATGCAGAAACAGTATGATACAGAAAAACCTACAGAAGCAATGTTGCTACAAGCCCATCTATCATCTACCACATTACCATATATTATCTGGCCAAAGACTCCACTATTAGAAAAGGTAAGTACTTCCAGTAAAAAATCTTCTCCTCAGAAATTCTATATATCTCAGACATACTTTGATTACAGTGTGGGTTTGTGCTGATTTATACCGATTGCCTTATATAGCTCTTTCTTAGCTTGCAGAAGGGAAAATCAAATTCAATGAGACTTGTATGTGGCAGACTTTGGTGGTAAGAACTAACTAAGAGGTGGAGTTTCGCTGGAGTGCAATGGGGCTATCTTGGCTCACTGCAACCTCCACCTCCCGAATTCAAGCAATTCTCCTGCCTCAGCCTCCCAAGTGGCTGGGATTACAGGCATTTACCACCACACCCTTTTGTATTTTTTGTAGAGATGGGGTTTCACCGTGTCACCCAGGCTGGTCTCAAACTCCCGACCTCAGATGATCCACCTGCCTCGGCCTCCCAAAATGCTAGGATTACAGGCGTGAGCCACCGCGCCTGGCAGAGAACATAAAACTCTTAATAGCGCCAACATTTAAAACTCATCTCTGGCAAAAACAGAACACTTACCAGTTCCCACATCTGCACCATTCTGAGCAGCTTCCCAAACCACTAGTTTTGTCCCACATACATCTGTAGATGTAGAATCTGAATAGTCCGCAGGATTAAATGTCCTGGGGTTTGAAATAAAGAAATAATAAAGGCAAAAGAAGCAAGCACCTAAGCCAAAATATTAACTATATATGATCTCCACCAAACAAGCCCAGTCCCTTCTTACAGCCACTGTAAAAGACATCGCCTCTCCTTCCCCTAGTTAAATATAACTAATTCTGCCAGCCATGATGATGCAGATGTGAAAACCAGAAGTTGCCTAGGAACCTTCCACACATTCTGGTATAATAGCCTTATTTTCCTAAAACACTGTCCTCAGCATCCTAAAGCAGACAGGAAAAGCCATAGTCTTTCAAGGCAGAATAAGGGCACTTATGAAAGTTCTGCTGAAAAATAAGGCATAGGTAGGCAACAGGTATCTTTTTCCCAAGACAGAATCCAAGTTTGGCTTTGAACCTTTTAGAATAGAATTATATGCTCCTTTATAGAAACATCAGATAAAGAAGAAAACATTTTGTTCAGCATCTCTCTTTTTATTAAAATCCTAAACTGAACACCCAGTTTAACTCAATGATGGTTCAGAGATCTAACATGAGCCAAAACAAATATTACCTTTAAAATTTTCCCAAAGGAATATGAAGTAAACAGAAAAATCTACAGAACAATTTAAAGCTAATGGGCAGGGTTTACGTCTTAAAGTGCTCCTGACAGTTTGCTCCCTGTGTTTGGGAGCAGAAAGGCACCACTACTTCTACAAAGCAATGACACCAAGAGTGGTGCCTAAAGTTTGAGAAACAAAGGGCTTTTCCTGTAGCCAATTCCCTTCCTTGACAGCATCTATGTATGGATTCCACAGGACGTTTTAAAACTTTTTCTAAAAATCCAAGGGAGCTAATGTTTTAGTAGTAGCAAAAATTAAAATAACACCCAGAAACAAGAAATAAACCTGATTTTAGTACCTCTGTGCCTGTTCATTGTTGACTATTACAATTCAGGAAAAAGGTATCACTTATGCATAAATAAGCATTACATTTACTTAGCATTCACAGACAATGGCTGGATTAACTAACATGGCTCTTAGGCAGTGCCATTTACGTATATCTATAGGTATTTTGTCTCTACTTCAGGCGAGGTGCTACTGGCATTTATTAATAGTACAGAGAGGAGAGATGTTGCTAAATATCCTACAATGTACAGGAGACCCTACTACCCCATGGAAGTATTATCCAATCCAAAATCTCAATAGTGCCAAGGTTAGAAACCCTACTCTAAGGCCTAATTAAAAAATCAATTTTATTTATACTATTTTTCTTGTTAGTAAACTCTAGGTATAGAAAACACTGGATTCACTATGATGACTAAATTAGATGCAGGGTATTAGAAGCAATAGCAGAATAAAAAACTAGGGAAGTAAATAACTATAAAAATAGGATGGCTATGACTTACCCCATGCCTTGGGTTGAGAACCTTCCTGCCCCTCTCCCTCTGCCACGTCCAAATCCTTTAAAAAAACAAACAATTATAGTATAAAATAATACTTGTGTCCTACACAATTACACCTCCTTCTTCATCCTATACTCACTACCCAGACAATATCACTATTGTTCCTTCCTAATGGCACCAACATTCCAAACCAGGGCACCCAATTTACTGATTCCTGCTAATGCAACTACCTATACCCAGTTAGTGACTTAAAAGGCTAGAAGTGAATTAAATTCTCCTTGGATTATGTTTGTGGTATTTGATAGCTAAACATAGGGAGGTTATATTATAAAATAGTCCACATCTTTTAAAATCAGGAAGGGCTAACGCCATGGAATTATAAGCCATTATTATAAGGCACTGTTAAATTAATTTTAAATACTAGGTCTTTGATCAAAGACCAAAATGGCAGCAAGCAGGAGAACAAGCAAGTAAGAAGAGAAAATTATGACTAGCACCTTTCCACATTCTCTTCATTAAAATCCTAAACTGAAGAGCAAAGGCCTAAATTCAACAGCTAAAACTATAAAACTCTCAGAGGAAAACACAAGGCAAAAGCTTCATAACACTGTATTTGGCAGTTATTTCTTGAATATAACATTAAAGTTATAGGTTAAAAAAAGAAGAAAAAAGACAAACCGGATTTTATGAAAATTAAAAACTTTTCTAGGCCAGGTATGGTGGCTCACACCTATAATCTCAACAATTTGAGAGGCTGAGGTGGGGAGGATGGCTTCAGCCAGGAGTTCCAGAGCAGCCTGGCCAACACAGGGAGACTCCCTCTCTACAAAAATATTTTCATGGGCATGGAGGCATGCGCCTCTAACTTAGCTACCTGACAGGCAGAGGCAGGAGGATCCATGAGCCCAGGAGTTGGAGGTTGCAGTGAGCTGTAATCAAACACCGCACACAGGCCTGGGTGACAGAGCAAGACTCAAAAGAAAACTCTGTATCAAAATACAGTATTAGCCAAGCATGATAAGTTGATGCCTGAATCCCAGCACTTTGGGATACCAAGGCAGGTGGATTGCGTGAGCTCTGGAGTTCAACACCAGCCTGGGCCAATAGCAAAACCTCATCTCTACAAAAAATACAAGTATTAGTCAGGTATAGTGGTACACGCCTGTAGTCTCATCTACTTGGAAGGCTGAAGTTGGAGGACTGCTTCAGCCTAGGAAGTTGAAGCTGCAGTGAGCTGAGATTACACCACTGTACTCTAGTCTGTGTGACAGAGTAAGACCATTTCTCAAAAACAAAAGCAGAAACAAAACACCACAGTATCAAAAGAGTAAAAAGACAACCCATTGAACGGAAGAAAATACATTACAAATTATATATCTGATCACAGAGTAACATCTGGAATATACAAAGAACTCCTAAAACTCGACAACAAAATATTCAATTCAAAATCGGCAATAGCCAGGCCCAATGGCTCACGCCTGCCCAGCACTTTGGGAGGCCAAAGCAGGTGGATCACCTGAGATCAGTTTAAGGCCAACATGGCCAACATGGTGAAATGCTGTCTCTACTAAAAATACAAAAAGTTGGTGCATGCCTATAGTCCCAGCTACTCGGGAGGCTGAGGCAGGAGAATCGCTTGAACCCAGGGGGCAAAGGCTGCAGTTCCAAAATCGCGCCACTGTCCTCCAGCCTGGGTAACAGAGCAAGACTAAAATAAAATAAAATAAAATAAAATAAAATAAAAGGGCCAGGCATGGTGGCTCACGCCTGTAATCCAAGCACTTTGGAGGCCAAGGCAGGCGGCTATCGCCTGAGGTCAGGAGTTCAAGACCAGCCTGACCAACATGGTGAAACCC